CTGATCTTATTTTGAGAAAGACACGGCGTTACATGCCATGAATCATACCACATCTTCACATTTATCAAAATGTTCATTCGAAATACCTGTATACAATTGTAAGGCAATGCAAACCTAGAAATGATGGCAGAATATGCAGTTTGGAGATCATTGTTTTCGTCGAAAGTTGCAAACCCAAAACGGCCTTAAGATGTGCAGGGCTCAAGATAGCAAGTCATGAGCAGGGCCACAAGCAAACAAATTGCCTTGCGAAGTTGATTTCCGTCAGCAGCGCAAGGCGCCTGAAAGCACGGACCCAATGCGGTTGCCTCGTTCTCCTTGCCCTATGGCCAGGCCTGCTACAAACGGTATTATGTTTAGACATATTTTCTTGAAACACATAAAAGCTATAATAAAAAAACAACAGGATTGGAATCAAGTTACATTCTTCTCAATGACAATAGTGTGATAATGCATATTGTTTGCCGATAATTTATTATTATTAGTTTTCTTGGAAGTTAATAACTGGTGACATTTGTTGGTGAATCTGGTACAATTTGGTTGCTTAAAATCAAGCCCAAAAATTATTATGTACCCTGACACACTGTGCATAGCGCTCACATGGTCTTAATTTGAACCTGGAACATGACGTTAATTTCGCCATCAAAAACTGTATAAAAACAGTAAAGTCTTAAAACCTATAATCGGCCAATTTTAAATCAGACATAAATTTGAGACAGCTGGATCAGTGGATTCGAAGAATTTGGTTTAAATTCTGAGTTACGACGGTTTAAGTCTGAGATACGACAATCAGATCACTGGATTCTAGGAATTTGGTTTAAGCATGCATTACGATTTTGTCTTTTATATTGAAGATACGGACAGTTTATTCTTTCAGAGAGGAAAGAATACGTAATACTTCTGATAGCACATGCATAAGAATATTTAAGTACATCAACTGTTATTTTAGACTGCATGCATTTTATTTCCTGATGCTAGAAATTCAGGATTGAGTTCCTTGGGAAGTTGTCATGCAAATATCCATAGTTTTGGTGTTCTTAACTTTGCACATTTCTAAAATGATTTCACAATTCAATAAATAAGTTTTCCAATTATAAGTCAAGAACTGGCAATCAGGTATGAAACCCCGAGCATAAATTCTTAAATAAACCAGTACAAGACAAAGGACCTATCAATTATAGAGCTCACTAATTGAATTAGAGACCTCCTGTAATAATTAGTGACGTCTGTAATTGAACTATAGATCTCTCTAACTAAACTGGAGACCTCTACAAATGAACAAGAGCTCCTTAATTTAACTGCAGAGGTCTCTAATAGTCTTAAATACCTGTCTAATTTATCATTGGTTCAATAATTACATAACTGAATTGTGAATGTCCTTAAAAGAGTTAGAGACCTCTCTAATTCTCTTATTAATGTATAGAGGCCCCTAAATAATGTTTCCAGGACCGAATTCTATGTCCAGGAGTGAGAAACTATTATTCTATAATATTGTATAATTGAGGCCTTACCACGGAGCTATTCACTGAATTCGAGAAGTCCCTAATTTCTATTAGAGACTTCTATAATTATATTATACAACTGTATACTTCTTTTATAGAGGTCTGCAGTTCAATTACAGAGGTCTACAAATGAGACAATATTGAGGTCTATTATTAATATATAGAGCTCTCTACTTTAATGCAGAGGTCTCAAATTGAATTAGAGGCCTCTCTAAATAAATAGAGGTCTGTATTGAATTGTATATATATATATATATATATATATATATATATATATATATATATATATATATATATATATATATATATGTGTGTGTGTGTGTGTGTGTGTGTGTGTGTGTGTGTGTGTGTGTGTAATGGCCGCCATTACAGCAAGAAAAACACCCTGAAACAATATATGACAAATTTAATTGACTTCAAATAATTTTCTAAATTGTCAGGACCAAACCTATTTATTTCTTTAGTATAAACCCATATGTGATGCAATTTTCTGTGTAGTGAAAACCATATACGCCACAACATTTCTTTGATCTGCATGTGCTTACTCCTGTTTTCTAGTTCCAGCAATATGTATTCCAAAGTCAAGTCTGTAAAATGACTGAAATTCCATCATTAAAACATTGCCTTAATGGATATGCTCTCCTATTGCAATGATTATACTTTTCATGATCTGTTAATCCTAGCCAGACAATCCCATATATACTCTATTTTATCTTCATCCATTTCTAGACTGGTTCCCATTCTTCCATGTAATTAGTACCATAAATCCTTGAACCCAGTTTCTATGCATGGCACAGTGAAGTTTGATCAATTACATTACATTCGTCTCCATCATAAGAGTAAATAAGGGTACATCGAATGGACAAACGCCCGATTGGGCGACAACAATTTCCATGTATTCAAAATAAGGGCGTTTCTTCATTTTAACTGTTGATTGTTGAAACCATCTGTTATATTCTTCAGTCAGCGATAATAAGATATTCAAATTATCAGCTTGGCACCGTTTTCTTTTAGGACACAGCAGGCAGTATTCGAGGATGTTACAATGATCATCCATTCATGTGATGTTGTGACAACAAGACTTTAAGACAGTCTTACTTGGTAGATGTATTGGATGTATGACTGGCACCATTTTTAATAAGGAATTGTCAAAATCCATTGTCACACTGATCTCGCATTCGAGGCGACTAATGACAACAAGATTGTAAAAACATTCATCATGGAAGCCATAGTTACTACACAGCAAGCACCATTTTTGGTTCGCAGCATCTGGTTATATTATGGCGTCTCCTGGGAAAAACCTCATTATGATATAGCCACGCGTTCGGAGAAGAGTAGAGAAAACATATTTCGAGATATCACATTCTATTCAGGAGCAGTTGCATTAACACGATTTTCAGGATGGTTGTCATGGGGAATATATTGAAAGTCAGATCAGCTACATTTCCATTAAAGACCAAACGTACATCATAATAATTATAGGTGTAATAACAGATTTTGAAGATGGCTGTCACACTGGATGTCGGACTGGTACCAATTTTCTTTAAGACCAGCCAGACAGTCATGAAGTGTTTTACTGACAACCAATGTTGATATAACAGTCCCATCAGATATCAGGAAGTATTTTTTTTAAAAAAAACTCTGTGTAGATATGATCATCCTTGTCAGGAGGGGTAGCTTCAAGTCGGCATCATTTTCATTTCTTAGACCAACTATGCAGTATAAAAAGTCTTTCAGTGAAAACCACACTTTGATATGGCCATCCATTCCGGAAACGTAGCGATAAAAAGATTTTCATTGTGGTTGTCATGCTGCAGATAATGGATGTTGTTAGAACAGCACCATTTTCATTGTTGATATGATCGTTCATTGGTGTGGGGATGTAGCAATAACCAGTTTTTCAACGTTAGATAGGCACCATTTTCAATTATGACTAATTAGACAATGAAATGAAAGTGTTTATAAAGTACCAAGGCAATCCTGTGATTAGTTTAGAAGGAATATCATAAGAAACTTGTGCTAATGGAAAAGCGGACGAAAGACGGACGGCAGACTATCCTGTGGTTTATGACAAGTTGAGTAACTATAACAATACTGCAGATAATTTTCAATGGATGCAGTTCATTTTAGTTCTTTGGAAGAAAAAGCCCAAAAGGATGTAGGCAATTCTGAAGTAAATTCATATATGAAGGTTTTCACAGATTTTATCCAGATCAAACATTAGTGTCACTTGGTACTAGGAATAGACTGAAAACATTTTATGTTAGGTATAGACCAAAGTTTTCTGATGTTAGGTACAGACTGAAGTCATCTGAGGTTAGGTATAGACTGAAGTCATCTGTTGTTAGGTACAGACTGAATTCATCTGATGTTATGTACATATTGAAGACATCTGATAGGTACAGACTGATGTCATCTGATGTTAGGTACAGACTGAAGTCATTTAATGTTAGGTAAAGACTTAAGTCATCTGATGTTAGGTACAGACTTAAGCCATCTGATGTTAGATATAGACTTAAGTCATTTGATGTCAGGTATAGACTGAGTCATCTGATGTTAGGTATAATAGACAGAAGTCATTAAATGTTAGGTATAGACTGAAGTCATCTGATGTTAGGGATAGACTGAGTCATCTGATGTTAGGTACAGACTTAAGTCATTTAATGTTAGGTACAGACTTAAGTCATCTGATGTCAGGTACAGACTAATATACAGATTTTATCCAGATCATACATTAGTGTCATTTGGTACTAGACTGAAAACATTTTATGTTAGGTATAGACCAAAGTTTTCTGATGTCAGGTACAGACTGAAGTCATCTGAAGTAAGGTACAGACTGAAGTCATCTGATGTTATGTACAGATGGAAGACATCTGATAGGTACAGACTGATGTCATCTGATGTTAGGTACAGACTGAAGTATATGATATTAGGTACAGACTGAAGTCATTTAATGGTAGGTACAGACTTAAGTCATCTAATGTTAGGTACAGACTTAAGCCATCTGATGTTAGATATATACTTAAGTCATCTAATGTCAGGTATAGACTGAAGTCATCTGATGTTAGGTATAAATTATTGAGTCATCTGATGTTAGGTATAGACTGAAGTTATTTAATGTTAGGTACAGACTGAAATCATCTGATGTCAGGTACAGACTGAAGACATTTGATGTTAGGTATAAACTGAAGTCATTTAATGTTAGGTAGAGAGCGAAGACATTTGATGTCAGGTATAGACTGAAGTCATCTGATGTCATGTACAGACTAAAGTCATTTAATGTTAGGTAGAGACCAAAAACATTTGATGTCAGGTACAGGCTTTCTTGTAACTTTATATTTCGCCATATTTCTAAGTATACACTTTAATATAAATATAATATATAATAATGAATGTGTGTGTGATTTGGATTTTCAATATAGCTTTCAATTTCTTTTTTTTTAAAAAAAGTTATATCACTACGATGTCTGCATTGAGACAGTTTATAGTGATTGGTATAACTTCGGCCGGGTTTTAAACCCTCGACCTCCCGAATCCAAGGCTGACACTCTAACCACTAGGCCACCAAAGC